ATTTTAAAATTGCCTTTACATTCCCATTGCAAATTTATTTCGAATACTTTCGATAATACATCTGTTTTGAGAGTCGAGAGACACGTTTTCCTAGAACTGCATCGACATAGATATAATAGTAGGGCATCGACACCCAAAAATTTCAAGCCCAGATGTTTTTACTTTTTACCTCTTGTAAACACTCATTTATATGTAATTTCTTAGGGTAATAAAAAGCATATAAAACACTCCAGGAAACACACTTTTGAAATAATTCAATAATGATAAGTTATTAATTATGATTAATAGGATCTTATTGCAGAGAATATTTATTACACATAACATACTTAATATCTTTTAATTAATAGTTTTTATTTTACTTTGAATGTAGGTACCTACTTATTATACTATGTATTTTCCAGAGGCCTATGTTACCACTTTCTTCTATATCAATAGACAAACAAGTTTTAAGTCTTAAAAGTACCATTGATATAGTCCAAGATAAATATTGCAAATAAACAATAATGGTAAATTGAACTGAAAGCTACAACATTGAAAAGTGTTTTAATCCTTAAACTCTAAAAAAAATAAACAAAAAAATATGTAGATGTGTAAAATAAAAAAAAGCGTTATACCTCTTCATGAAAAGCAATCATTATTTATGATGTCAAAATTTAATAATTCACTCAAGATATTGTCATGCGCCACCTTCGTAGCTTTTCATATCTACACCATGGGCACTTTAGTTTATTCCTAAACTCGCATTTACGATTATGAAAACAAACTCTTATAAAATAATACTTTTATTTGAACTTTAATGACTTCATCTGATACTTAGATCTTCCATAAATAATAAATAATAAATCATTTATTATTAATTTCACATCTTAAATTAATTATTTATCAAATAAACTATTAATATTATTTAATAAGCAACACAAAATATTCCTGAAGCCGTGTCAAACATTTAGTAGCTTTGCCACCACTTTCAGTTCGACTGAGTGCGTTGTATGACAAAGATAGGGAATGTTCGATTTGGAAAATATTACCGCGGACATAGTGTTCATTTTTTTCGAATCCTGAAAAAACTAAAACATATTTTTGAAAAATTTAAACGCAGAATGAAAGATTACATTATTACCGAGGGCCGAAAGTCCCTTAGAATAAACAAAAAGTTTTTTTGAATGAGATATATGAGATTAAAAATCACACTAAATTTTCTCTTGTTTTTCACCCCTGTAACTAATTAAAATAAACATTATAGAAGTTTTCAGGGACTTTCGGCCCTCGGTAATGATGTAATCTTTCATTCTGCGTTTAAATTTTTCAAAAATATTTATTAGTTTTCTCAGGATTCGAAAAAAAATGATTGCATTTAAAATGCATTGGCCCGAAATTTTGCGCCTACGCTCTTAAGCTCAATTAGTATTTTGTCTATCCAAAATTACTAATTCGATATTTGATATGACAGTCTAAAAGTAGTTCTCCAAGAAATACTTTTAGACTAACTAAGACCAAGAAGGCTTTATAGTTCAACACTTCACAACAAGCAATTTATTGGTCTACGACCAAGACATTCTCACTTCTATGGGAAAGGATTTGCAGGTTTTCCTCTTATAGACATTTCTGATCATTTTAAATTCCGCAAAGCATTATTTTTCCAGTTTAGTTTAAACTTAAGATTTATTGTGAAATCAATAGTATTGTACTAATCTTAAAAAAAAACTTGAATGGTTTGTAAGGTTGGTCATGAACTAATAAGATGTCGTGAAATATTAATAAATCTCAATGTATAACTTTAACAAGAAAAATTGTTATCACTGTTATATTTGTCTACTTGTTATTCCGTCTATAGTTAATGAGGTGACTGAATTAGTTTTAACCTATCATATACATATTCGAAATCTTGAAGCGTTACAAAATAAGTTTTTAAGATACACTGGTTACAAACCATTATTTTCTAAAGAATAATGGACTTAGATTATACAGTTATATTAATATTCACACCTAAAAACCTGATCGGATGGTTACTGATTTATTTACATTAATCAATCTTATCTCTGGTGACATACATCGATCATTAATAAGGAAACATATAGAATTTAAATTACCTAATATATTAACACGTAACACTGATACTCTTCATCATCCCTTTCACCCAAATAATTATACATACAACTGTCCTCTATCGCGACTTTCCAGACTGACCAACAGTTTAGATTGTGATATTCGAATTCCTTTTAATAATTTAAGAACTAATTCGATTAGTTTACTGCATAATTTATTACAAGTTTTATTGTGAGACCCTATTGATTTTTATCTTAATCTATTTGCTATGTTTTGTTTTTTATACAATTTCGTCATTTAAATATTATTTTATGTGGGATTAAACCACAATTGATTGTAATGAGACTAAAAATTATTAATGGCTAATTTTATTCTTTAAAAATTCGTATTACCCATAGACATATAATACAAATAATAGACTATAGTCCATGTCCATCATATTGATAGCACATTATGTATGCAAATCCCTAAACTTTTGATACGGGTGACTCAATGAAAAATAGATATTTGTTAACAAGTTTGAAGGACAATAGAATACAATAGTTTTGAGAGTTACGAATCCCTAAATAAAGTTGCCAGTGTCGGAGTGATGGAGATTAACAGGTACTAATGAATTTGCAAGAAATGTAAGATGTTTATTTCATTGGTTATATATAAAATAATTTGTGGCCGTAACAGGTGCCGATTTGTAAAAAAATGAATATTATTTTAATCAAATTCAAAATCAAATCAAAACGTAAAATAATTACATCACGGTTTAATGCCATTTCATCAATTATATATTTTTTCTAAGCTGCTTTGTTGCCTTACAATAGGTAATAATTCCTTTTTTGTCGAATTCTCCTTGTACTCAATTGCGTGTTTATCCAACCATTCGATTATCTCTCCTTTTTTCCATGCCGTTGCTGGCAATTTTTCTGCTAGTCTTCAATGGTAACTAGCATTATCCATGACTATGACAGAATTTTTTGGAATTAAATCCAACATTTGCTGAAAATATTCTTCAAAAACGTCAGCAGTCATTTCCTCGTGGTAATCTTTGGCTGATTTTGAGGCAAAACTTAATAATCCACCATTGACAAAACCGTATTCGTTTCCAATATGGGTTATTATGAGTCTGCGTCCTTTTCCAACGGGAATATTGTTTATTCCAGTAGATACACCTTCGATGAATGCCTGACGGGAACTTTTCATATTTGTATCAACCCATAGATATGGTACAGTATGACCTTTATTTAGCCAAGTCTCTTCCAAATAAAAAATTGTTTTCCCTTCTTCTCGGTACTTTTTAATAGTTCTTAGATAATCTCGTCTCCAACATACAATGTAATCTTTTTCAATTAAAACGGATTTTCTTCTATTCTTTTGCCAATGAAATCCCATCTCTCTCAATAGTCTCCATAATTTCTTGTTGCTTATGATTGGTAATTCTTCGTTTTCTCTAATTAATGTTTCTAAATTAATGGATTTTGTCCAATGTTGGAAATTCTTTGTTAAAAAAAATGATTGAACGCTGCGTCTTATCATGTTTTTATGTATTTCTTCAATTTCCAAGGGTTTACTCTGTCCACTCTTCTTAGGAGATGAAACAGTTCCTCCTTTTCTTTCTTTAAGGAATCTATAAATTGTTGCTTCTCCAACCCCTGTCATATTTGAACACATGTGAACGATTTCACGAACATTACTTAAAGGGCGTTGATGTACAAGTGCATCGTGTACATTTAATATTATTTTTTTGTCTCTTAGACTGAAGGCACCTTTAAAACTACACTTAACCGGGATAAAACCTGTTGTCGATGTCATTTTTAAATGCAAATAACAAAATATCGACACCAAAAACGTAGGTAGGTAAGACATGAACAATGTACATTTACAAACTAAATGGAAGATGCAAACAATTTCCAATTTATATTGTTGGCATAAGCTGTAATGTGGCATAAAAACTACTTAAACTATCATTAGTGATGCCTTATCAGTAATTCCAGGTAATCGTTCAAAGAAGGCATTTTTTGTGTCAGGCGATAACTTGTATAGAAAACAATAATCACCTTTAAATTACTGTTTACATTAATTTATTTCGTGAAACATTGAATTCTCTCGTTAATCACCAGTGTATAATTAACAATAATCGTGTGGCATATATACCGACATTTTTTACGCACAAAAAAGGTATAGTGAGATTAGTGGACACTTATTTTACAGAAGATTTTTTAAAAGATAATGAATTGTTGACGGCATCTTAAAATATTAATTTTTTTTATTTATTTCAAAACAAGTATAGGGTGACGCCTATAGTTTTATGACCTGTTGAGGATTTGCATACATAATGTGCTATCAATATGATGGAAAAGGACTATAACTGGTGCCATACAGTCAGGTCCCCCAGTGCGACAGAGAAAACTAACCCAAAGCAGTCCCTGCATCTCTTTCTAATTGGCCGGGTTTATTTTTCAATTATTTCATTTTAATTTTTTTCTTTTTGAAAACTTAAAAACAAATGTAAAATGTAATTCTTATTACGAGCAATTGTGGTTTAATCCCAAATAAAATAAAACTTTTTAATTTGTCACGCGAAAACAGTTTCAGAGCCTCTTTACACTTTTTTGTAGAACCTTTACAGAACCAATTGTAATGTGATATTTATTTTATATAGGTAATGATTTTATATAATTTATTTTTATATACTTATCTTATTGTAGTACCAGTTTTGTTTTGTAGCAACATTTTACATTAATTTATCGTTCTTGTTTTGTTGTAATGCCGTGATGACCTTAATAAATAAATAAAAATCTTCCCTTCACTATAGCTGTTCGCGAAGAGCGCTAAGAAAAATGAAGAGACAATTGTGCAAACAAGTTTTGATGATAAATATTTATTTTCTGTCTTTGTGGTTATGCATGTAGTTCGCTTTTTATTTGATAAGCAATCATCTGAAAGCTTACGATCCATTTTAGATAGTACAGCGGGAGGAAATGTAGGTTTGGTTTTATCCCAAAGCTTAATTTTAACCGGAATGTTACAATACGGAGTGCGACAAACTGCGGAGGCTATTAGCAATATGATAAGTGTAGAAAGAGTACTGCAATATACAAAGTTAGAAAAGGAAGGACCGTTCGAGTCTTTAACCAAACCACCTAGAGATTGGCCAGAGAAAGGAAAAATTATTTTTAAAAATACTTTCCTTAGATATTCCCTTGATGTACCTCCTGCTTTAAAGAATTTGAATATTGAAGTAAATTCTGGAGAAAAGGTAAAAATCATCTACTATATATATTTAAACTACATGTTTTGCTGCTAATGATACACACAATTACATATTTTAATAAAATAAAATTTTAATTTAACAATACTTAGTACGTGTCAAAATTGACGTGGAATAGCATTGTAAGTTTTATCTATATTCACGTATCATACCAAAAATTATATATTAAAGTAAACAATTTTGCCTTTCTTAATTTTAATTTTCTTTTAAATACATTTACTTTTTTTGCTAATTTTGATACACCGAAACATTATTTTAGTGCCTATCGTATTTATTGTTGATTTTTCGTTTTAAAGAAAATCCTAGGAATTATTTGTCAAATTATTTTTTATGTTCCTTATATGTCACAACTGTAAATCGATTGAAATAGTAACAATTAATTATCTTGTTTTGTAGTATTTTACAACTAATAATAATGTTTTTAAAACATGTTTAGGTTGGTATAGTGGGGAGAACAGGAGCAGGAAAATCAACATTGATCGCATCGTTGTTCAGGTTAGCCCCAATCGAGGGAACGATTTCCATAGATAATTTAAATACGGCAGAAATAGGCCTAAAAGATTTAAGGCTGAATGTATCTATAATTCCCCAAGAGCCTATTTTATTTTCGGAATCAGTTAGATACAATTTGGATCCATTTGAAAAATATAGCGATGAAATACTTTGGAAAGCAATAGAAAACGTAAGTTATAAAAATAAATTAATAATAAAACTCACAGTTTAGAATTTAATTTATATTTTAGCCAAAAAGCAACAAAGTAGAATATTAACGTGTAATAATTTTTGTACTTAAACTAATGTTTTTTGCATCTTTACTATGAGCATTTAGCTCAAGATCGAGTAGATGGAAAACTTCTGTAGAAAATGGAAAACAATAAAAACCGTTGTTCTGAAACTATTATCGTAGTTTATCTCGTTTTTTGGAAAACCTCTATAGTATTTAACAGCAAATTATTAAATTAATTCTTCCAAGATTTCGGCTTTTTCTAAATACAATTCCTCAATTTAATATTGTTGGCTTGTTCTCTATTTCAAATAAAACAATGCAATCCTTTTTATCATTCTTATCAAATATATATGAAATCAAATTTATATTATTCTAAAGCTATTTTTTGTTGAATTTTACTTTTGGAATTAATGCATAATGGAAATTCATAGATTATTAATTTTGTAATTAATATTCAATTTAAAAATTAAATTGTAAAATTGGATCTACTGTATTTTCACGTTTTCACATTTTCACTACCGTTTTCGAAAGATTAGTTTTGTAGAATTGAACAAACTATTTTATTTTTCTTGTTGTTCACTAATTTACTTGAATCTGTTCCACTTATAATAAACAATTTATGTTATATACATATTAAAGGCGATTACAACAATAAAAAGACTGCTTTATTGTAGGATAGTTATTTGATTACATATAAAATCAACTTTAACTGAATAACTTAGTACCACACATTCTATCATATCCAATGATGACAGTAAAATTCTCTTGTTAGTAATTCTGTTCTGAATGTTTGAGCGTCTTAGTATTCTATATATTGAATATGAGTTTCCTAAAATTTTAAATTATGGTTTCTGTTCTACACCGATTCTTCCAATTGGGAATAGTTTTCATCCCTACATTTTATTACTTTCTTTGCTCACTCAAGCCTACCATGCTTTCCGTTCTTCGCACATTGCGTTGTCTTGAGATCATCCGTCTTTTCAGATTAATTTATTGATCTCTAGCTACCTCCACATTAATTAAAGTAGAAATATGTTTGTTTTTCCCTACATTACGTATCAACCATGCAGAGTTATTAGCGTGTATAGATTCTGTTACAAAATTTAAACTTAATAATAGAATATTAACAATAATAATAGATAATTAGAAAAAGTCCTAAATCTATTCAATACAGAGTAAAATACTATATGTTTGATAAAAGCTTGTAGTCTTTGAGAAAGGCGAAAATATTTTTTGTATTACTGTTGGTATTGTTGGTTTTGTTATTACTACTGGTGGTATGTTATACATTTTAGTTGCACTTAGTATTTGGGACACTGCAATAAACAGTGCAGATCAAAACTTGAGCAAGTTGATAAAATCGTTTACCTTTTACAGCAATTAAATTTTAAAGCAGAAAGTCACTGCGAAATAAGATCTAAGATAGAGCAGGCTAGAGCTGCTTCTAGAAGGATCTCCAAGGTGTTATGTAACAGAGACCTAAAATTGGCATTGAGGATCCGCCTACTTCGTTGCTACGTGTCCTCGGTCTTACTTTATGGTGTCGAGTCCTGGACTGTGAATAAAATCGATCTAAATCGCCTTGAGGCTTTCGAAATTTGGCGCTATAGAATAATTTTAAAAGTTTCCTGTGTGGAGAAAATTCGAAACTCCACAATACTAGAACGTCTCAGTAAGACTACTGAGATCATAAAAAGCATCAAGCAGAGAAAGCTGGAGTATTTCGGACATGTAATGAGAGGTCCCAAATATAGGTTACTACAAAATATCATGCAAGGAAAAATAGCAGGCAAACGCAGTCCAGGACGAAGAAGAACCTCATGGTTGAAGAACTTGCGAAATTGGTATGGTGTTGATACAAGCCTGCTATGCAGGGTAGCAGTGAATAAAATTGAGATAGCTATGATGGTAACCAACGTTCTGAAAGGACATGGTACATGAAGAAGAAGAAGAAGAAGAGGAATAAACAATGTTTTACCGTTAAGGTACTTTTACACAGGTCACACACAGGTTTATCAGCACGTTTTAGTAGGTAGTCATATGTTAACCGAGTATGAATAATCAGGAGGCGAGTGAAGGTTACTTGTTCTCTTCTATTTTTTAATTTTGGAATTTTATGATGGTTGATATCAACTTTGTATAGCTTGGTTGGTGAGTTCTTCCATGTTTTTTCCATAGTAGAGTCGTCTTTTCCTTAAAATATGCTTTCAGGTCGATGTATAGGGAGTTATTATTCTCTTCTGTATTTGTATTAGTAGGTGCATGTTTTGCTATTTTGTCTACAACCTCGTTACCTTCGATTCCAGTATGTGACGGTACCCAGATACAATTAACTACAATATTCATATTTTAGTTCCTTTTTAATGAGAAGTAGTAGTGCATGTTCACAGTAGAATTGGTTTAATACCATTATCGAGCTATAGATCGAGCTAGAATCTGTAATAGTGATATTTCTCTTTTAATTTTTGTCAACTATCAGAACTAGCGCTTTTAGTATCATCACAGTAACAGTTCAGCAGAGAACGTTGTTGTAGATGAAGGTAATTTGTAAGCTGCTGTGTGATCTGATGAGTAGATTGCTGCCCCAGTTTCGTCTTCGTTTTTGGAGGAATCAGTGTTTAAGAAATTATTTATGAATTTGACTTGCTGGCGTCTCTGATTTGTTTAGGCGCAATAAGCTGGTGTCAGTAGAGGGAAGGCGAACTGTCCAAGGAGAAGGGGTTTGGATTGAGTAAATATCGTAGGTATATGGAAAATGGATACCTATTTTCAACAAGTAGGTTTGTATGCTGTGACAATAAGCGTGATAAGTTCAATTTGAAGTTTGGAAACAACTTCTAACGCGGTCAGCGAATTCATTGCGTATAACTGTATTATCTTAATTAAATGATAATCCCGCGGCATTAGAAAGACTGGATATTCTCTTCTAAACGTGAGTGGGACCTCTCCAGTCTGTCAGTATATTGTTTGTATTGGACTTCTGTAGTGTGCTCCTAAGGAAATTCGAAGGCCTCTATTTTGAATCACATCTATTTTTTGTTAAGTACGTTTTTTTGAGGAGTTCTAAACGATTGAGCCATAGTCCAGTTCTCAACGTTCAAGGGCTTTAGATACTATGTACTAATGTAGAAGTGTCGACGCCTCATTTTTTGTTTGCAAGTCAACGTTTATTGCTCTACCAAATAAAACAAAATCCGTATCCTGCACTGATTTCCATATTTAATGCAACTTAATGAGCATATTTTAAAGATATTTTTAAAAATCATACATCAAATGATATATAGACTATGCGAAGAAAAAATCAGCCGTACACAGTTTGGTTTTCGGAATGAAGTAGGTACGAGAGAGACTCTCTTTAGCATACAAGTGCTATTTCAACGATGTAGAGATGTGAATTGCCATATTAATATGCTTTATTGATTACCATAAAGCGTTCGATACCGTAAAGCACGACAAGCTGAGATGTTAACAAATATTGGAATAAACACCTCTGATCTAAGAACTAGTAGCAATCTTTACTGTAATCAAACATCGTCTATCCGTAAAGAGACAGGAGAATCCGATGATATAAAAATCAAACGTGGTATCCGACAGGGATGTATACTATCACCCCTGCTATTCAACATTTACTCTGAGGAAATCTTTCAAGAAGCAGTAGAGGATGTTGAAGCAGGAATTCAAATCAATGGAAAATGTATCAATAACATCAAATACGCGGATGACAGTGAGGTATTCGCTGACGGTTATGAAGCCCTCCAGGAGTTGATGAATAGAATCACAGAAATAAGTAAGAGATATGGACTTACACTAAACATTAAGAAAACAAAATGTATGATATCTCTAAGAAGCAACAGCAAATTGGAAGAATCAATGTAGGACAAGAGTTTTCAATTAAAATATTTTTTAACAAATGAAGATCTTCTTGTAAATAGTCTGGATGAGAAAGTTTTAAAACACGTTCCTTTAATCCTGTTATAAGGTTCATTTTCATCTTATTTGGATGATGAGAGTAATAGCTTATAAATCTATTACTACATATGGGTTTTCTGAACCATCTGGTTTTCAACATATTGTCTGTATTTCTTACAATTCTCATGTCAAGGAATGGTAGAGAATTATCTACCTCTTCCTCAACTGTAAATTGTATATGTTGATTATGATTGATGACAATGTTGACTGTTTCAAGAATTTTGTGTTTAGGAAGTGCCAAAACTAGATCATCTACATATCTTTTGATAAATGGAATGAAAAAAGTGCAATTATTGATACAATCACTAATAACATCATTCATGACATAGCTACTTAGAATGGGTGAAAGACTAGATCCCAAACACCATTAAATATAAAAATATTAGAATCAAAAACAAAGTTGATGAGTGTTTTAAAATGTAATAAGCCAATATTAGTATGTTGCGAAATCTCATTCCAATGTTTTTCAACACTACTTATGATTAAATTTAAAGGTAAATTGGTAAAAAGAGATTTTACATCAAAACTAACTAATACATAATTTTGTGGTAATTGGAAATTATTAATGAAAGAACTAAAATCAAATGAATCTTTTATGTAAAAATTGTTGTTTAAATTATGAGCATTGGTTAAGATGTCAGTGAGGAGCTGTGCTATTGGTATAGCACAGCTCTATATAACCTAACTGCTCTATATAGCACTAACTTTGTGTGTTCTTTAGGTTGAACTAAAACATGTCATTACTGATTTAAATCAAACTGTCAGTGAAGGAGGGTCAAACTTCAGTGCAGGTCAGAGACAACTTCTTTGTCTCGCAAGAGCTATAGTTCGAAACAATAAGGTTCTTGTTATGGATGAAGCTACTGCCAATGTAGACCCAGGGTGAGTTGCTATAGTTTAATTTTTATTCGCTATATTCGTTGTTAAATTGCAACAAACAAATTTCTTTGTTTATAACAACATCGACATTACAATAATTATGTCTTTGAATTAAATCCTATGCGGTAATCATAACATTTCAGTAAATGTTTATTTTATATTTAACCCTCTTCTATCACTTTCAAAGCAGAAGATGAATTAGTATCCCAATTTTTACACCGAAACATGGAAAACAATCCTGTGAAAATTCAATGTCTGGGTATCCACATAGTGATATTTCTTACTTAATATTTTAATTATAAGAAAGTTTGTAACCTCGAAATACCTGTAGTAAATAGTAAACAAATTAATTTAGTATTTAAGTCTTAATTAAGTTTTATATAACTTACAATTTGTTGACAATATCTCACATATGAGTATGAACAAAAATTCACACTCCAACAATCCATTTTTGTATATGTTTATCATATCTTATCGTTTCCCTCAGCCCCTTTTCACTGGTTCAAAAGAACCACGAGATTACCTCTATAACTTTGTTTGATTGAAGCAATTGAAGGAATGAATAATTTCAGAATACCGCATATAAACCTGATAACAGTGTATATTATTAATTAAGGATGTTTTTCAAATTATCTATGTATTCTGGAATTCTTATTCTTTTTTTATGTAGACATGACTGTCTCTTTTTCAATGTGCCTCCAGTAAGTTGTCGTTTTCGTGGTCTTCCTACTGATCGTCTTCCTATTGGGGAACCCTCTCTTGCTGTCTTTACGACTCTATTTGTTGTCTTTCGGCTTATATTTATTCTGGAATTGAATTACACGTTTATGGAAATGAGATTCGATATTTTTGGTGCTTCGTGCAGAATTACATTTTTTAATATTAATTTTCTTAATAGAAGATTTGAAAAATTCTACCCAAACGTTCAGTTCCAATTTCAAATTTTCTTCACATTAAATTTTTATGTGGAAAAAGTTCCAATGTAATTCTTTCACGGCAACTCGAATTATGATTTTCCCCTATGACTGCACACTAAATTGTAATTTATTTTTAACACATATGTGCATTTAATTCAATGCGGAGATTTCACGGAGACCCGTAAATGAACTAGAAAAGCAATAACCTATTACTCAGAAAGCTGCACGTCCATTAAATGAGACACTTATTTAGAATATCTTTAAATTTTCTTGTAAATTTACAGTGTGCTTTATACAAAATTGACAAATGAATAATTTCAGGTGTTTCAAATATATAAGAGAAACTGTCAATTCATAAATTTCCTTTTCTACACCTATGCGTCGATAGTTATGTCAGCCATGTTAAAAATGCATCAGATACAATTAGCTGTCTGTTTTTGTCGTTTGAATGTTATATCAATTCAGCAAGCAATTTTACAAATTTCGATATCTACAAAATATATATTTTATTCGTGGTGAAGAGATTTAATACTTTCTATTTCTAGTTTCTTACCACTGTTAATACAGTTTTTTCTTGCTCTTAGGGTTTTTGCTTAATAATATGCTGTAATGATTTCCCTCTTATCATGTTTTACATAAATAGCTTTTTTTGTATCCTAAGCGAATAAATAAATTTGGCTGTATCTTGAACATGTGTCCCCTGTCAATCTATTATTATAAGTTCACTTTATAACATATTTCTTGTTTAGCTTTTAATAATTATTTATATTGCAGCACTGATGCCCTAATTCAGAAAACAATCCGCGAGAGGTTTAAAGACTGTACGGTACTTACCATCGCCCATCGACTTAATACTGTTATGGATTCAGACCGCGTGTTGGTAATGGATGCGGGAGAAGCAGTAGAGTTTGACCATCCTTACACACTTCTCCAAAACCCCAACGGTTATTTCAGTAGAATGCTTAAAGAGACGGGACCAGCTATGGAAGAGATGTTGAAGGCAGTGGCAAAAGAAGACTATAATAAGAAGCATGGTGGAAAATTAGAAATAAAATCAGTTGAAGAAAAAAAAGTGGAATAAATAATTCAAATTTTGTGTTCTAGTAATCGTTGAAAAATGACAGTAGAAATTGAACAGTGTTTTGTAAGGTTGTTCCTTCCGTAAAGATTGGAAGTATTACAAAATTTAAACTATTGTTACGTTTAGTTAAGTTAACAGTATAACTTATTACTCATTTAAACTACATCACATTCGGATGATTTTTCCAGAACAAATTCCCGTAAATAATGTTAAATGAATTTTATGGTATTTAATAAACTTAAACCTTGTACTGATTATTGTTAAATGTTGTCAATTTATTACTATGTACATATTGTTTTTGTTTATTGATTTAAAACTAATAGGTACTTAAAATGTTTTTATTTTAAACGTGAGACTAGAAAGTCAACGCAAACCAAATTACTATTTATTTACCTAACTTATTTATTTTATAATAGTGCAGTTGTATTAAATTAATGAAAAACAATGTTGAGTTATTATGATATGTCTTTATTGATATAATACTTCAATTAAACCTTTATTACTGGCGAATTATACAAAATTCTCTATACCCAAAGTAAGAAAGAGTTTACAGTGATGTTACTTGAATTTAAAAGCATATTCAATTAAACCATGGATAACCAATTAATCTGAAAAATCTAAAAATACCAACCAAGGTTCCCGCTTGAATACAAGGGTGTTTCTCTATTTGGAAATGTTCTATACAAAACTGACCCTCAGCAAATTTTATTAAATGTTTGGAATGTTTATTATTAAAATGAAGGGCAATAGTAAATTAAATATAGATCTTTAACGGGTCTACACATTTTCCTCTTGGTTTTTGAGTTATGGACAATTTTATGCAAACCTGTGTGAAGGGACTGTTGTAGCTATCCAGGGGAATCTTTTTATGGACAAAAACAATAATTTTTTTAAGTTTAATTTGACAGTATTTTTAAAACTTTAATTTTACCACACTAAAATCAATCTTAATAAAATATAAAAAACAAAAACATTATTTCTGCTAATTAATTATCACAAACGATATTTTACGTTGACATAATACTTTGAAATATTGGTACTTTTGAAATAAGTAAAATAATATTAATTATCCGATGCCTTATGCAGGCCATTCACGTTCCGACTTGTGGTCCCACTTAGTAGGACTACTAGTTTGATGTTTGTCTCCACTCACGCTCCGACTTTCTATCCAACTAGCGGTCCAACTTCAGTTCTAGTTTGTTTTCACGATGGTGTACATTGATGGATTCGACCGTTACTTGATGGAAATTCATTTTATGTAACAATAAAACACTGAAAACTTTGTTTTCAAACTTCCACAAAATTTATTTTAAATCTTATCACTACAGCTGTTTCGGCTGATTGCCTTTCTCAAGTGATCTATTTTGGCTTGGGTTTACAAATTTATAGTCTCTAATGAAATAGGTTGAGGAGGGGAGAACTGTTTGTCTCAAGTTGGTCATTCAGAATTATATCTGTGTTTTTTAATTTGTTGATTTCCATAGATTCTAACAAAGATAGCTTAAGGCCTTTATTTTGAATGTGAAGAATTTTAAATTTGTCATTAAAAGAATGATTATGATCTAGAAGGTGAAGTGCGTATGTCGAATCTGTTTTTCTATTCTTGAAAGCCCTTTTATGTTTGAAATTGAAATATGAAATTTGTAAACCCAAGCCAAAATAGATCACTTGAGAAAGGCAATCAGCCGAAACAGCTGTAGTGATAAGATTTAAAATAAATTTTGTGGAAGTTTGAAAACAAAGTTTTCAGTGTTTTATTGTTACATGGTGTACATTGCTTAATCAAAAAATAAATCGAATAAACACTACGCAAAATATAATTAGGAGGTGGAAAATGGCAGCAGTGTGCTTGTTATCCTTATATGTATGTTATGATACTCTTGATTTTTATGACTTTTTAAGATGTAGGAAAAAATTATAGTTTTTAATAATTTGTGTAGGTATATTCTATTTTAGAAAGAAATAAAAATTTGCTTTAAACTGGAGCTGGGATTTATTTTGTTGTGCGTGTGTCGTATATTTTTAATAGGAATAATTTTTCGTGCAATTGAAAGTTATTTTATATTATTTATTTGCAAACTAGGGATCTTTGCTACAACTATGATTTAGTTTTCGTTGTTTGTTGATAATATTTCTGTAGCCAATTCGGAGTGTTGAAAATTTTACCTGTGTGGGAGTGTCCGAAATAGATCTACAGAAAGGAAAATGAGTTACTCTAACAAAAAGTAGATTATGATTAAAAATCGTGTATTTTAAGAATGGTAATTTTCGTGCAATTGAAAGTTTATTTTCTATTAATAATTTGCGAACTAGGGATCTTTGCGTAAAGTAATTCATAGAAATATCATACGTAACAGGTGCCGAAGGTCAACTGACCGAGGAAAGTTTCGATTCAACCTGGGATCCGACTTCCAACTTCACCATTCACGCTCCGACTTGGTCGCCAGTCGGAAGTCGGATCTTCAAGTCGTCCCACTAGATGTTCCGAGTCGTACCACTAGTTGTCCAACTAGCCCACTCACGGTCCGATTTCAGATCCAACTGCAGAAGTTGGACCACTAGTCGGATTAAGGCCCGGCGCAAATTGAGCACACCCCACGCACATCCCACGCCCAGCCCACGTATGGTCCAACCTAGTCCAAGTACACGTTTTTCAATACTAACGCATATTGAACACAGTCCACGCCCATGTCAAATATTTGTGTAGAATATGTTCTATCCATAAAATTAGGAAAAACACAATTTACGAGTGTGCTGATTGTGACGAAAAACCTGGACTATGCATAGGAGATTGTTTTCGCAAATACCATTCAACGAAAAGATAGACTGTCTTCAGTATATTAGTTTAAATAAAGATTTTATTTTCTAGACCTTTTAATTTTTACCTAATATCCCACTAACAATTTCTAATCTGAAAATATAAATATCTTGAAAACTTTCACAAATACTGAGGGTAAAAAATTGAAATCCTTCAACAACAGACTATAGATATAATTTGAATAAGCTGCTTTTGCCGATTTGACTTTCTTATTACTAATTAGCATAATAAGGAGATATTTTACGTGGTAACAATTCTGTTAAAGATTAGATTTTTGTTTCATTGAAAACTGAACCTGATATTAATTTCTTGAGAACTTTTACATATGATAAGGGTAATAAATTGAAATCCTTCAACAAAAGACTATAACAGGTAGATACCCATAATTTAAATAAGCTGGTTTTGCCGATATTGACTTTCTAATTACTAATTAGCATAACAGGCAGATATTGTAACTGGCCACAATGCCGTTTGTTCCGACTTTCATTGCGCTTGTTTTGAAAACTCCATCCGATATTAATTTCTTGGAAACTTTTATAATGCTGAGAGTACTAAGTTGGAATCCTCTAACAAAATACTATACAGAGTATTGTTGAAATAAGTGAAATAACGTAATAAACAACATAAGAGCTAAAAAAATACAAAAATTCCATATCGTATTCTGTTTTCGAGATAAATTAAAATTTGAGAATTTTTTATTATTTTTCTACTTTCTTCATGTTCTTTTTTAAGTTAATTTCAGTGTATAAAAGCCATTACAATATGAGCATCACGAAAAAGTACCATCAAATTTTATTTTGAAGTTTTCATCTTAGGCGTTCATAAACATTTTGCTAGGAAATTAAAATTTGTTTTTTTCCTTAGTTCTCGATTTGTTATATTTCTCATTTGATTTAATAAAAAATTAATTTTTTTTGAATAATTATAACGGCGACTTACATCCGAGTCACTTAGCACAAATAAAGAAAATATTAGTTTTGTTCTCATGTAATCTTCATTACTAGTATCATACAAGACACTAAAGCTTCGAACAATTTCAATAAACTTTTCCATTTTCACCGAATAACAAAAAATTGGTCACACAAACAAAATAACTAAGGTTAGGTAGAGACCCACGATGTGCTCAATTTGCGCCGGGCCTAACAGTCGGAACGTGAATGGCCTGTCTTACAAAAAAATCAGTTTTAATACTGTACTTCAGGAAAAAGCTTAAATTTAACTTTTCTCAAAAACCGGTAAAGATATAGCAAAATAATAAAATCATTTTTTCCTTTTAAAGGTCAACCACGATCTGATAACTTTTGTAATATTTGGTCAAAACTGATATCAGAAATCTGTTGTGGAACTAAGTAGGCAACCGCTATTTTAGTTTAGTGTCTGCTAGTGAACCCCGCGTCTCAGCCGTGAGTGGAAACAGTCCCGTGGTAATTTGTTTTTAACTTTTTTCAGAGTTTTAATAACGAAAATTTCTTTAAAATAATAATTGATTATCTATACTTCATTTCAGGTGTCCATGCAGTAAAGAAATGTGCAGTTTACGTTTGAAAACCAATAATTAATAGGCTTCATAGAAATAAGGATTTTAAGAGTCTCCTATACAATAGTTAATGATCTTATAATGGTTTTATTTACAAGTGAAAACATACATGGGCGTGCAAATGGGTTTCACAGCATTTGTTGTGAAACAAGTTGCATATGAAGAAGAACTAACACTTTTTTTATTTTTAGCAAATTTTATATATTATGTATATAATTAATTAAAGAATATAATTTCCTATTTGAATAATACAAATGTCAGTTTTTTAAGAAAAAAATATTTTATAGACAGTTTCGCAACAATCAGTTTACTTTTTCAATATTCAAAAGTTTGTCAATGTGTAATAATTTTATTTTGTACATAATTGTAATAATTTTGGAATTTTTTATTAAAAGTAATGAAAATAATAAATATTGCAATAATAAAAATTTCAAATAATAGCTAAAATATTAATTATATCAGAAGTATCACTTGCTATGCATAATCTGCGTTCACTTATTCTTCATCCGCAGAGGTGTATTCAGTAGTCACGTTAATCATTAGTGGTTCCACCAAGATGTCTAATGTGTTGTCCAAGTCCGATATGTTTTCTTCTTTTATCACATGTTAAATGCATTTGTTCCAGTTTAAGGCAGTGACATTGTGTAAAGCGTGTTTAAAAAGTTCTTTAACGTCTGCAAGTTTGTAAATGGTGTTTGGTGGTGCAAACCTAACAGTTTCCTATAACAGCGTGGAAGAAAGATAATATTAGACAGTGGTTATATAATAAAAATATATCATTTGGAGATTACCTAAAATGGGAGCTTTTGCAAAACGCTAGGCAACACATACCTTCACACGCATCAAGAATGCATGTCGTTGAGGAAATGGCCAAAAAACTTAACATTACAGTACTCAGATTGCCGCCTTATCACTGTGAATAAAATTCTATAGAGTTGATTTGGGCCCATGTAAAAGGGGACGTGGCAAGAAATAACACCACTTACCAACTTGAAGACGTTAAAGAACTTTTTAAACACGCTTTACACAATGTCACTACCTTAAACTGGAACAAATGCATTCAACG